CTACATGGGAGCTTGGATGACTACTTGGGATCATGGAAGTCCCCAGAATCTCATACTCAGGCTCAGAGCTCACAGGGTTATTTCAGAATTTACAGGCTGATGATGAGAGCTGTGGAAATCAGCATCTGCTCCTCACTATGGAGACAGAGATACAGTGGCCTGGGGCGCCACCACAACTGCATAGAAAGATTTCACTTCCCAGGATCAGGACAGAGAGTATCCAAACTCAGCTTCTTTCTCAAGAATTATCTCCAGGACCACAAAGCGCTAGACTGGAAAGGTGGAGGGCATCACTGTCAGTAGTTGCGAAAGCTTCACTCTTGGCTCTGAGACTCCAGAATCATGCAGGCATGCTCACCTTCCATACTACTGATGGAAATCTTACTAAGATTCATCCCTGATACCCCTTTCCTGACGCTGAAAGGCCCCCATTTTCCTGGAAATAGTTTGAATCTCTCAGCCTGATAGCCCAAGCCTTCCCTGACTTGACCATTGGCATTTTTATCTTTGGACTTTCCCAGCTCCACTGGCATGAACATATCATCCCTGTTGTCTGATAGAGACCAGACTTCTTGGATGTTTGCATTCCTCCCTGTGCCTGGAATGTTCTTCCTGTCCTGTCTAACTGATAAGCAGTGAGTCATCCTTTGAGACCTTGCTCAAGCATCTCCTTCTTCATGAAGGCTTGCCTGGCCAGCTCCAAACTGGTTACAGGTTGACTGCTTGGTAACAGACAATGTAAGATGTTGCCTCCAAATCTATTCTTCCTTTTGTGTCTTACCAAGAAATCCTGATTTTGTCCAAGTATTCAACCTCAGCTGAGTGACCCGGTGCTTAAGGAGAAACATGAAAGAGGCCAGGCCAAGCATACTGGCCCTGTTCCTTTGACAGTAAGAAGTCAGTTCTGGTGGACATGTGTGGGCATGTGCCTGGTTCTGGCCATTGCCTGCATTTCCACGGGATAGTGGTCAGAGGTGGTGAGCTATTATAAAGGGGCTCAATCAAAGACTGATTCTGCTGGGCTTGTTTGTCACTGCAGTGTCAGAATCTGAAACAGGGCCTGGTGCCAAGTAGGTGCCAAGAGAGTTGCGAGGAGTTCCTTCCGCATTAAATCCTTTTCAGGACTGTTTTCACTGGGTGGGCTGAGTCCCTCCTTGGGGAAATCCAAAGGGTCCAGAGAATCTTCTCAGAATCAGAGATGATGAAGGACTAGCTCAGGCTTGATGGCCATTGGGTCTTCTCTCCCCTCAAAATCCATACTCTTGCTTGTTGTTATTTGTTCAAAAATATTAACAGAATGTCCGCTATGTGCCAGCCACTGCATGTTCACAAATGAACAAAACCAAGTTTCTGCCCTAAAGGAGCTCACCGCATTTTGGAAGGAGACACAAAATCAGATAATTATCCTCTGATGCTATAAGGGCAGTGAATCTATGTAATAGAGAGATTTCTTAGTTGCTAACAAGATCATCCTCTCTGGATAGTATAAGCGGAAGAAGAATTTATGAAAGTCCATTTGATATCACATAGAATCCTGCACCCAGTGAAAATGATGTCTCAAATCATGTGTAGAACAAACTGAACTCAGCTGACTAGATATCTGCTCTTCCCCACCATTGCAGTGGAAGAAAATGAATGCAGCTTCAGAGATTGAGAAACCCTGGATCTGTGGATAATGAGAAAGTTCATGTGTATGCAAAGTATTGTGCTGTGCTGCTCAATCTCTAAGTCATGTCTGGCTATTTGTGACCTGCCAGGCTCCCCTCTCCATGAGATTTTCCAGGCAAGAGTACTGGAGGGGGTTGCCATGCCCTCCTCCAGGGAATCTTCCTGACCCAGGGATCAAACTTGTGTCTCCTGCACCTGCTGCATTGGCAGGTGGATTCTTTATCATTGAGCCACCTAGGAAGCCCCTCATAATGTATTGTAGAGAGTGAGAAAACAAAACAACACTTTTCATTACAGAGCCTTGAGCAGGGTACACATACCCTGTCATTTCCTTCATTACTGAAATCAAACTAATCAGACTCTCAATTGTCTTGAAGAACATAGATGCATTAAAACAAACAAAACAAAATAAAACTATACAGAAGAGCAATTGCAAAAGTACCTTAGGAATGTGTCTGATTTATCAGAAGTATTCAGAAAGAAGTATTTTAGTATTCAGTAGTATTTTATCAGAAGTATTTGCTGTTGCCTAGCCAAAATGATTTGGAGATATAGAGGAAACGACCAGTGTCCTGGCCGGGTCGCTTTGCCAGCCGTTGCCCTCTGTCCCAGGAGCCATGAGAGTCAGCTGGTTCCTTCTCCGGAGAATGCCCTCAGCTACACAGGAGCCATAGCACAGGGAGGCCACATGACCCCTGGCCGCTCTAACTGTGACCCCAGGGAGAGAGCATACCTCTAATCTGAAGAGACCTCCTGTTTCCTCCCTGTGAGGATTAGGAGTCCTCCATTCTGCTCCATCGGGAGTGATGGGTGAACTGCATGGTTCTGCTAAACACACTGCCTTGCTGGGCACAGAGTTGGACAGCACCGCGTTTCCTAGGCCATCTTCTTGACTGCAGCCTTTCTTGAAGCTTCTGTTTGGATATGTCAGGCTGGTTTTGGGGTGGGCCCCAAGGGACTCCTCTACCCAGAGAACTAGCATTCCAATGGATTGCAGGGTGGAGGGATCCTGCGTCCTTTCTAAAGGGCTTTGGCCGAAAGTGACTCAGTGACTCAGCACGGGAAGTAAGTTCAGGGGAGGGCCTGAGCCAAAAATAGAAGAAAAGAATCATCACCACCCGAGGGCCTTGCCTGGGACTTGACAGATAGCCCTGAAACCCAGCAGTAGGGATTGAGACCCGACCCTTCAGGGGCCCCCTGGACCCCGATCCAGCCCTGTAGACAGCAGCCATGCACAAAGGACTGCATGAGTTGTTCAGTATTTAAGCCACTTGTTCAGGGTTTAAGAAATTGGCCACCAAATTCTTTGATATTCGCCCATTGATGGATGGGGACTGTGTTTCCTTACTTTGAAGATGGTCTGGGTCATGGTAATTTTGACCAACAGGACACCATGGAAGTGATCTCTGTGAGGTTCTGTCACAGAAGGTAATACAGCCCTGAGCCACCATGGAAGTGCTCCCACTACCCTGGAGCCCCATCCTGGTGAAGCTGCATGTAGGAGCCCCGCCTTTCAGCCATCTCATCAGCACCCAACTTGTGAGTAAAGAAGTCTCCAGATGATTCTGGTACCTGCCCTAGTGTTCTCCTGACTTTGGGGTCTTCCCAACACTGTCCTCAGTCTTGCTGAAGCAGAGACAAGTTACCCGCACTGTGCTCCAGTTGAATTCCTGGCCTACAGAACCCAGGAGCATCATAAAATGATGGTTTTCTACCACTCGCTTTGGGGTGACTTGAAAGCAGTGATTACAACTGAGTCTCCACCCGTGCAGGAAAAGTTAAGGAATCTAAGGCTTTCTCTCTCTCACACACACTTGCATGTGTGAAGTGATGGTCAGAGTCACAGAACCAGTGCAACGCACAGCCAGAATCTACCTCTCCTCTATGTGAACTTAAAACCCCCACTGATTTGCCTCACTATTCACTCCCAGGTATTTCCTTCCCAAAGCTGCATATTGATCTGCACTTTAACAAAGCATTATTGCGATGTGATGACCCGCACAAGGAAAGCCTGGTCCTGGCCTATGGATCCCTGACAGGCATTCTGACAAGATGCTTGTAAGTGTATTGAAACCCCACCAGGGCCGTGAACCTGGACCTGACATGGACACATAATCTTATTGTCTAACCCTGAAAAAAAAAAAAAACCAACCAATCAACCACCAAACAAACCCAGTTCTTGGAATTGTACTCTAGAATGGCGTTTGCAAGCTAGAGCATGTTCAGAGGACTTGGCTGCAAACTGGGCCTTAGGAGGGAAAGTTGAAGGGATCAGGGACATTTGGTTTTGACAGAAGAAGTCTTGGCAGAATATGTGGGCTGTATTCAGAGATTAGAAATGTTGTTAATGGAAAAAGATAAACTTTGTGGCCCTAGATGGCATAATCAGGAGAGTAGGCTCTATGGGGTTCAATTTGGCTAATTCAAGTGGTCCTACTTTGGTCACTGCTAAAAATCCAAAGACACTTATATTCCAATGTAAAAAATCTTTATTATTCTGAAAAGTACAACACAGGCATCTCAGTTTCTCCTGTAATCAGTTGCCATTGACACTGGTTAGCATTAGAGATTCTCCATGCTCTGTCATGGAAGGAAGGAGGACCTAATTTTGTCAAGAGTTAGAGAAGCCCAAGCCTCTTAAAACACAGTGTCTTTGTGTAAGGACATTTATTTTCAGCTTTCTCTGTTGGTAGGATGATGAGAGAATTTCTCTTCTACCTATAGCCTAGTATTTTTAGATGAAGCTGGTGAATGAATGTTAGACAGCCCAGCTGGCCTGGATATATGTGTTCCTTTCTCAGCTGCCCATGAGTACATGCTCTGAAACAAATAGGTTCTTACAGCCTTCTCTGGTTGTCTGAAAGAGAGGCATACCAGCTGAGACACTTATTAAAATTCCATATTCTCTGGTCCTTTCTCTGCAGATCTAGATTAGTAGATGGGGGTGGGGCTGAGTCTTTATGTAACTTGCGCCTAGGGGGCTCTGACCAGGCAGGCTTGGGAAGCGCTTGTGTAGGGAGAAAGAAACGATTACAAGCTCTTGCAGACTCCTTCACATCAAGGTATTTGTTAGAACAGGCACAGTATATCCTGAGGTTGGCAATGTGCTCACACCTTCAATTGACTTGGAAGGACAGTAGAGGTAAGAGTCCCAGGCTGATCCTTCCTTCTGGGTCAGAGAAACTGGGTGGAAAGTGCTAGAAGCTGGGAGATAGAAGACTGAAAGCTGTGCTGTGGCTTCCCCCACCCCCACCCCCATCCATGGCCAAGGTTGAGTAAGCAGGACCCAGTGACTCCGCCTTCTTGGCCTTTGCTCTTGTCCTTCTGAGGCTTCAGAGGTCGCTGCCTACCAGGTTCAGCAGGGCATTCTTGTAGTCACCGCTTGTGTCTTCCTGAGGACAGGAAGGACATGAGATTTAGAAGGGAGTTTGGTTAGAAGGACATTGACCTGGCTTGGAGTCACCACCATCAGGAGCTCTTATTATTAGGAGTTGTGTTTCTTGGGGGGAGTCCTGGCACATACTTGTACTGGTTCCTATGCTACCGCCCCTCACACTGTCACCCTATTTTTCCTTGTTTTCCATTTCAGGCTATTCCTACTGCCACCACACACCCCCCACCCCTCACCCTGACCACCTATTGCTGCATTCTGAAACTTCTGAAAGGCAAAATGTCTTTTAAACATCTCATAAGCTATGTGTTTCTTGAAAAGTATAGCGAACAATAGGCATTTGTAGAATAACTAGACACTTGACTTAGTAGCCAGTGAAGACTTAGGAATATATTTCTCATGACTTGACTTTCATTAATGAAATTGTCAAGGTCTCAATTGACATTAACAGCTAGAAGAGCTATTTCTCTTGAAGTTACAGCAGTGTGATAATTGCTCTGCATTTTCTCAACTCTAGAATGTTCACTAATGGGAATCATGTTAGGCAACCCACTGAAGCTCAAACGATTTATCTCCTTTAAATGTTGCTGCCAGGACTACTTAAATCTGTATTTGAATGCTACTCCTCAATTCCTCCTAAACTATTTACTCTCATTGACTCTTCAGATATGGTTCATTCTGCAAGGATTTGGTGTGTCATTTTCAAAGGGGTAACCATAAGGCAAAGGCAAAGCTAACTTTCTGGGTGAACAGGGACCTCCACTAGTCACACCGACCTCCTTGCTGATCCCTGTATGTACCACACAGCGATGAATGCAAGGGTGTGATACTCCCTGGGAAGGGATGGACACATGTGACTGATGGCATTGGTCTCAGCAGTCAGGTTTCTCAGAAGGTCTCTGTTTCAAACTGGTGTTAGAATTGGGAGCTCATGACTCACCATGATCATGCTGCTGAGGGTCTTGCCGTACATCTTCTTGAACTGATTCTTGATAAGATTTAAGTCAATCTCACTCCTGGAAACGATGTTTCTTATCAGGGTCCCATCGAGAGTCCCTGCTCCCTGGATAAAACATAGCAATCAGCCATCACTTCCTGCCTTCCTGGTCCGTCTTAGTGATAATGACAAATCTATGTTGGGTCCAGGGGGCTTTTGTAGGGGATGGAGAAACAGGAACGACAGTGAAGCACTAGAGGGATGCACTGAGGGATCCCTTGATCTCTCCTTGCTCACTGCTCATATTGTTTCCTATTAGTAGCCAAATGCTCCAGGCTGCAGTGTGTGTTTGATTTGATTCTGGACACAAAATTCTCTTTGCTCCAGGAATAAGACCTCTTCCTAGGGCAGTAACATCATGAACTCTGCTTAACTGGACAATTCACAAACAGGACCCTCCCTTTCACTTTCATCCTTGAATATTCTTATGTCGGAAGGAGCCACATGGCCACAGGAATCCCACACCCTTTTTCATTTCCCTGGACAGATGCAACCAGAGGGCTTGGTGTTCTTGCTTCAGGTAATGTTAACAACCATCAATCAGAAAAGGTGGGCCCTCACCTTAACCTTCAGGAATTATTTTGACTATCTGTCTTCCAATGTGGTTCCAGATACCACAACCTGCACCTAATATGAGCATTTGAACTGCTGTCTGAGTGACCAGTGCAGCCTTTTGGACAATAGGCAAACCCAGATCGGCATTCTGGCACATGCAGGAAAGTTGAACTGCTGTGTGTGGCAGTCTCTCTCTGAATGTGTCCATTCAAAGGGTGCCTTGACCTCCTGGCAATCCTGTGTTTTCTCAAGGAAGCCACTTGGACAATAATAAATAAATTAATTAAAAGGACAATTGCACTGACTTGGGTTCAAATCAAGGCTTTGCCATGTATCAGCTATGTGACCTTGACCACAGTTTTATCATCTCTGCAGGGGGCAGATGGGAGGGCAGATTGCATCATGAAGTGTCAAAGGACTGTGGTAAAAGTTCAGTGCCATGAACACCTGGGAGCACACCTGCTCAAATCCAGCCTTCAGGAGATGTGGCTTCCCTTCTCTAGCCTTGATTTGCCCACTGAGAACTAAAACCAGCCTGATCCACAAGAGGCTGGGATTAGAGGAGACCCAAGTGTGGAAGAATTGGGTGGTGGCTCTGAGCTCCTTGGCTTTGCAACTGGTGCCATGTAGGACTGAGGGTCAGGCACACAGATAACAAAACAGTTACCTTCATGGCGTAGTAAAGGCGCTCCGCAAAGTAGCTGTGGAGGTTCCGTGTGCATTTCACTGGCAAACAGGAAAGTTGTGTTAGCAACCAGAGGCTGTAGGCAGCATTGTATACATGTTTATTTATTTATGTCTTGCTTTGGGTCTTAAGGGTTGTGCAAATCTTGGCCTATTTATTGGTGCTCTGCTTAGTCCTGAAAGACTCTGTCAGGAGGGGTGGGGCAGGGAAGGAAGCCCAGGGCGCTGGGCACAGGTGCCAAGGCCCAGAGCAGGCAGACAAAAGGGCAGGATGTGAAATGCACTGGGGCCCGCAGGGTTGGTCTGGCCCATCGGACCACAGCTCCACCAAGGGAGTCCTTGGGCTCTTACATTCCAGCGACAGCTTCACTAAGAGTCCATCCACATAGCTCCAAGGAGGAGCCACCATTATGGTGACCACTGGCCTCTGAGTGTCACTTGTCAGAGGACCCCTGCAGATTGAATGCCCCTGTGACAGATGGGGCTTGGCTCCAGAGCGCCTGGCCCCACACTGTCTTTCATGGACGCTGCTTTAGAGACTGAGTGTCTGGGTGGGGAGGTTGGCATTTTGACCCAAGGCAGCAGAAAGAGGAGGGCTCTGAGGGAGCTAGCTAGGCATGAGTTTGAACCCTGCCTGATGGCACTGTGTGTTAGTGACTTGATCTCCCTGCCTTGCACTGTCCTCACATGTGAAGACAGTGATGTGAGTCTTCAAGGAGAAATGAACAGGAGGTGTCCAGCCCAGAAGGGCACTGCAGGGTCTTGCTTCTCCTTGCCTGTAGATTTTATTTAGGAGTTGTTTAGAGGCAGGGGCTGCCTGTGGAAGCTGAGACTGGAGTAGAGGTCATGTTTAGATGCTCTGGCATAGATTAGGTTTATCACAGCAATCAAAGGTGGCTGGGGAGTGTCAGATGTCCCGATCAACTTTTAGGGACCAGGACATACTGTGAAGCTCCCAAGCTACTTGGCAGCCGATGGGGACAACCTGGTGTGGAGGTGACCTTGGCTCTATTATGGGAGGGAGAAGGGAAGTCCCTCTGCTCTGGGCCTCAGTTCTTCATTCTGCAATGACCCTTCTGCCTGTCACTTTGGCTCTGGACTCCAGGCTGCGCTCTGGAATGGGTCCTCCTATGTGAATCTGACCTCATGCTTGGGGGAAGGTTCTCAGCGTTCCCCTAGCAACAGATGACCCATCACTCAGTTTGGACTCCAACTACATATCATCCTTTCTTCAGTCAGCAACTGAGGCAGGGAACATACCCCTGGCTGAGGTCCTGCTAGTTGGCTTTTTTGGACCTTCACAATCAAAGCCAGAATGTTCTCTGTGTGGCTGCTGTGGGTGAGCATAGCCCCTGGGTCTTGCACAGTCCTGCAAATGTGTGCATACACGTACATTCACGTACTCAGACACCTTCACACACATATCCATGCACAATGACATACACAGGGCTGGGAACTACATGGGCAGCACAGGGAATGATCTCGGACAGGACAGAACACATTGAGGACTCCGGGTCTTCCCCAGTAGCTCCAGTGTCCTGGGTGGATGGTACATGCTGAGAGTTGGGGCTGATATGGAGGTTTACCTTGATTGATGGTGAGCACAGGGACCCAGCACTTGCTATTGAGCTCTGGGCTCTTTGCCCTTTGATTCTGCCCCTACACTGAGCCCCGGGGCCGGGAGACACATGTGTACCTGAGCATGGAGCTCCATCTCTTACCTACTGTAAGCATCGCCTCCTCCAGCGACCCATGGGTCTCACTCTTGATGCTGTCCTCAATGCTCTTGTTGGCAATTTTCTCATATTCCTCAAACACTGTGGAGAGAGCCTTCTCTTAGCCGACATGTGCATCTCTGCCTGACATCCCCCAACATCTTACATCAGAGACTATACATCAATTCACCACCCCTGACTTCCACTTGGTTGTTGGGAAAAGGGTCCCGGGGTCCTCAGCGCTCTCCCCAACTCCATGTCTTGACACAGCCACACACTGAGTATTCAGTATGAAGGGAGAGGCGCCCATCCCTCATGGTCCTGACATCGCCGCCCTGCCTCCCCGGTACCTCTCATCAGGTGTGTGGCACTGCGTGTACACAGGATAGTGATGAACTTCATCTCATCTGTCCCACAGATCTTCTCCCCCGCTGCATACAGATCCTGGCATTGGGACACCCATGACAACCAGTGAAGGTGAGCAAGGGGGTGAAGGACCACCCCCAGTCCACCCTGCCAGCTCGGCATTCTCCTCGGCTTGATCATCTTTTTGATGGGGAGCCTGCTCTTCCCATGGTTCAGTTCTCTTCTTCGGGCTGCTCTGGGAACTGCTCCGCCTTGCCCTGGGCTTCACCCTGCCTCTAGGCAGTTATAAGCGCTCTGCCAGCAGGCAGATTTATAGAGACCTGAGAGCACACATCTGGGCCTTGGAGGCCCAGCATCCCCAGATTCGTAGGCTGGTCCTGTCAGGGCAGAGTTTCAGTGTATCTCACTCAAATCAGCTTCCTTCCTCCCCTACACTCTCACTTCCCTCTGTAGACATCAGAGGATAAAGGCCTGCAGAGAGCTGAGTCGGGTCTCAGCCTAGCATCATCAGAGAACCCCCTCCTCCCACACTGCCCTGCCTGGAGTCTAGATGGCAGAGGGTGGGGCCAGGTGGCCAGGAAGGCAAAGCTGCTGAGGGGTAGCCTCACCTGTGCATCTTGCAGGGCCAGTCCTGGGTCCACATAACCACTCAAGTCATCTCTGCTGCCCTAGAAACAGGAGAGGTAACTCTGTAAGATAGGCTGGCTAAGCAGGGAAGCCTGGGCAGAGGGGACAGCTGGGCAGGCAGGTGGACAGTTATCCTCTCTGGGCCTTGGCTCTCTCATCTGTAAAATGAGAGTTGTAAGAAATGCCCTGACGGGGATGGGGAATTCACTGAGCAAAAGTAAGTATCATGCCTGGCATGGGGCCTGGTGGTCAGGACCTGCCCAGTGATGGGCCCTCTTCTCCTACTTCCTGGAGAGGTGCAGGGGTTCTCCACTGCGGACCTCCCAACCACGCTGGGATGAACCCAGTGAGCCCAGGCCCCAGTGGTTGTACCACACCCTTGGCCCTACCTCACCCAACCCCAGCAGCTCTGCCCAAGAGCCGCTCTCTGGGAGTGGGAAGTGGTTGGGGTCCCCCAGACAAGGGGTTCCCAGGATACAGGGCTGTGATACCTGCAGGAGGCACACCAGAATCCTCTCCAGGTAGCCGCTGGTATCTGCTTTGATGTCTTCTTCCAGGTTGGACCCATAGTCTGCAGGGGATCAGGACCATGAAACTTAGACCTGCTCTTCCCCTCTCAGCCCTGTTTCCCATACTCCTCCTGACTAAAGCCTTCTAGGAAGGATGAGTCTTTGGTACAGACAGTGTCTGCACTGTGCAAGTGTCTGAGTAGCAGAGGCTCCCCACTGGTTGTCGTTCAGAGCAAGGAAGCGACATGGGTTGCTGGCCAGGCTCAAAACACAGAAATGGGCCAGTCCAGAGAGCCTGATAAAGCTCCATTTCATCATGGGGCTCATCAAAGCCAGAACCTTCAGACAGACTCCTCACCAGGCAGACCTTGAGGAAGAGGTGCTTTGCCTTGCATACCATGGACTCCATGATAGCTAGCTTGGGCTCCACATCCCCCACTGCTGAAATGGGGCCCTGCATGGTCCCCGGGGTCAGCCTATGCCCAGACAGGAAGGTACCAGCCCCACCACCCACTGCTGAAAAATTATGTGGCCCCCAGCAGTGCCACACTCTCAAGGGGCAGAGTTTAGTGTCTACATGCCCTTCCCTCCAGCAAGCAGCTTGTGAATTTAGGGAGCTGAGCAGCTAAGCCTGAGCCATATCTGACCTCACTATCAGGCATGGGATTTGGTACACAGTGGGTGCTCAGCACCCATGTGTGGAAAAGCCCAGAAAGAGTCCTTTCCAACATGGCCCTGTACACTTCTTGTCTCTTATTCCCTGCTACGCTGCCAAAGCTCATGGCCATTTCCAAGCTAGTCTTTAACTCAGGGCCCACATCTTCTCCTCTTGACAGGCCCCTTACCCTCCTCGTATGCCTTCGTTATCTCCCGCAGCTGGTTCTTGGTCCGAGAAGCCAGAATTTCGATGATGACACCCTCTTTGGTTCCTATGCCCTGTGGATAACAATCTCTGCTTACTGGAGAGAACCATTTGCACCCTTCTGCTGGTTCCACACCCTTTTTTTGTCAAGAGGCACAAGGAAGAGCCCTAGGAAGAATTAGTCATCGCTCTGCTGGGAGGCCTTTGCTCGAGGATGTTACTGGAGGAAACCATCTGCATTTGTCTCCAGTGGTGGCTGTTATGGGCAAGTGATGTGATGGGAAAACTGTGTCTCAGCTTGCCCCTCCCTAGCTGGGTGTTCCCAAACAGGTTGCTCGACATCCCCGAGCCTAAGGATCCTCATCAGGACACAGGGATAATAAATCATCCCCACCCGGGGGTGGAGGTGATAGATGTAAAATGCCCAGCAGGTCCATGTACACAGTAAATGACCTTTCCATGGAGATGATTATTGTTCCTTGGTCCTGACTCCTGAATCATCTTCAAATGTAAAAGGAGCAATGGGAAGTAAAGGGAAATTGGAGAACCAGGCATGAGACAGCAGAGGCTGGTTCCTAATTCCTGCATACCTGGTCTAGTGGTGTCCTGAGAAGGACTGATTTTGGCTTTATCAAGACCAGGTGACGCAGGAGGCCAGTCTGTGTTTGGTAGCAGTCTGAGTGATAGGAACAGAGTTAAGAGACAAAGTAGGTGATTAAATACTTAATCCCACTAGGGGATGGTCAGTAGAGAAAAAAGTATGGGAGACCCCTGTAAGTTAATGATCACTCAGGAAAACAGGTTTGCTTAACCACAAAACCAAGCAGCCTTGCTTAGCAACAAAACTATGCAACAGAAGCAGGACACATTCCCCCAAACAATAAAACAATGGTGGAATGAGACCCATATCCTGCCCAGTGAGCTCAGTAAGTTAATGATTCCTAGGACAGGCTCTTCTGCCTGCAGTAAAAACAAAAATTAAGGAAAAGGAGACCTTATATTGAAAACTGAGATAATTTACCATATTTTAGTGTATGTTACAGCCTTTTTGCTCACTTCCACTGTTTCATGACAGTCCCGATTTGACTATTTAGGGACAAGAAAATCCCCTACCCATCATGGAGGAAGAAATGATGATTGAAGTTTGGCATCTTGTCAAGAATGAGGAAGAAGGTGGTCTTCTCCCCCTCCCCACTTTTTCTTTGATTATAAAGCTGTAGCCCACTTAGCCTGACAAGCTTTCTATTCGAATAAATCACTTCTTATCTGTCACTTTGCCTCTCACCAAATTCTTTCTGCTCTGAGACAGGAGAACCTACATTCTACTAAGTCCTGAAATGCGTCCTATGGTCTCATGAGCAGCAAGCTGCCAGCTCGCTGAGCTCATTCCAAACAGTGGCTCAAGGAGAGCTTGGAGCTCCCCATGCCAGGCTTTCTGGGGAAAGGAGTCCTGGGCATCATCTCCCCCCCCATTCAGTCCTTGTAAGTGGTTCTGTCCCTCCCCCACCCCACTTGCTTGGTTACCTTCATGGCATCGTATAGCTCCTTGGCTTCGTATCTGTATGGAGGGTACATGAGGGCTATGATGAGCCTCTCGAACTTGCCACTCAGCTCCGACTTCAAGGTCTCGATGAGATCCTAAGGCAGGAAGAGGGAACGGTGATATTCTGTGTGCTGCACCCACTGGAGTGCTGGCAAGGATGGTGGTGGGGCCCGGGGGCTCTGGCTAGATTCCCAAGTAGGCTCTGCCATGTGCTGGTGCTGGCTGGGGTTTCTTGGGCCAGCAACTCAGCCTCTCTGAGTATCATTATCCTTTCCTGTGGAATAGACACCATGGTGTACCTGCTTTATACCATTGCTTAGGGGATTGGCAGAGAGATGTCAAGCCCGTTTTCAGTGCAGTGTAGGACACACCATAATCCCGAAATACAAGTTTGTCATTACTCGCCATTGAGTCCCTGTCATTTAGCCTGTAGACACTCAACGAATGAGTGAAATGAATTAAAGAATCTATTTTATGCATGTCTCCTTCTAAGGGCACTTGTGATTGCAAGAAACCACAAGGCCACACACAGCTGACCTTCTCACAGCTAAAGGACCAAGGGCCTTTTCAGATCTAGATTTCAAATCCAACCTTGTTTCTTACAGGCTCTGGAGACTTGGACAACATCCTCTACCTCTCAGAACATCAGTCTCCTCTAACATCAAATGCAGAGAATAATGCATAGTTGTGAAGGTTAAGAGAGAGAAATTATTTTTTAGAAGAGCATATTGGTTTCTTATATGCAGTGTTTGGGTTTTGCCACTCGTCTTTCTGGGTTAAATGTCCACATTATTGATGTGTGCTGATGGAGGCTTCCAGCTACCACAACTCTGCTTGCATTTATTACTCTCTTTAGCTGGCGCACCAATGTCTGGCTCTGTCCTGGGGGCAGTGGGAGGAGGGATAAAGCCAGACTGTGTGCTCCCTGCCCTTGGATTTCCCCCATGGCAAGAGGGAAATTGTACATGAATGGCAGCGCCAATGTGAGGAGACAGCCCTGTTGCACGGCACAGGGCCGAGTCTGCCCTGCATCCCTGGCATGTGGGAGAGAAAAGGGCCTTCCAGGCTCAGGAAACTGGAAAAGCAAAGTGTAGAGGCAGGGAAATAGCTCAGGGATGGGACCCTGGAGCGAATGTAAAGGAGCAAGAGAGAGAGAGGTTGGGAAGCGTGGGGTGGGGGGCAGAAGGCTGGCCCAAGCCAGGGCTGTGGGGAGCCATCTGTAAGTAAGTTTTCTAGGTAAAACACAGGATGATGAGGTAAATCTGATTTTCAGAGATAAAATGCACCATATTTTTAGCATATTTCCTAAATGCCCGTCTCACCAGTGAGCTGGGCTCTAGACCAGCCAGAACTCATCCATCATGGTGCTGCCTTCCAGGCTGTCTCTGGCAGCAGCAGTCTCCACAGCCCACCTGAGCACACCTGCCCCGCCTTTACCTTGCCAAATTGAGCCTTGAAGGAATTGGCGATCTGCTGCCGCTGTGCGTTGCTCCTCTTCGTGAGCACGTCAATGATGGCCTGCTCGTTGGTCCCTGCAGGGCGCATGGCATGAGCACCCCCATTTCCCCCAGGGGCTGATGAGGGCTGGGGAGGAGGGAGGGCAGCTGCATGGTGGCCAACAGTGGGGAGGCACCAACTGGAAAGCTCCCAAACCTGATGATTTTCATGGTGTGGACAAGACAGACAGAAAATCTGCCTGTCCACCCCTGACCCACACAATGTGGGTGCAGCCCAGGCTCAGCCTCCCAGTGTTGGACTCTGAGGCCCCTTTGGTCATCTGATCTGCTCTGGACATCGCCCAGGGCCTTTGGAGCTCACTTCCCGCCCTGACCTCCCTTGCGCTGGTGACTGTGGGGGATGGTGGGGACAGAGGATCCAGAAAACCAGATCTGATTCCCGGCCCGGTGGCTGGGTGGACAGGAAGCTTCACCTCTCCAAGCCACTGCATTTTTCTTTGGGAAATGGAGATAATAATAAAGATTTCACAGGAAGCAGAGGACAGAAAATTCCTTCTCAGTTTGTCTGGGAATGGCAGTTTTTGTTAATGCCCCAGTTCACCAGTTGGAGCCAGTGAAAGGGTAAATCCTGCCTAGGGTGACAACATGAGGGCTGTCTGGGCCGGGTTATCCTAATCCCAGCCGGCCTCTGGCCAGCCATCAAGAAAAAAGACACTGGAGGCAGGATGAAGCCGGCCCCATGGCCAGCCTAAGCCGGGTGGGGGAAAATACTGCAGAGTCTGCATGGCTGGAGCTCCCTGGGACTAGGTCAGCCCCCCACAATTCCCAATATTGTCCCATCTGAAATTCACAGTGACACACAGGGCCCAGATTTCTTGGGGCTATTCTACAAGTGCGAAAGCTCAGGCTGAGTGAGAGGAGGTCCCTGCACAAGGATGTGCAGTAACACATGGCAGATGGCTTCCTGCTTCCCACCCCCGTTACTCACAACCACCCTCCCACCTCCAGTCTTCGGGCCTGTGTAGACCTGTACTGGGGAATGTGGGCCCTGTGTGATTCTCTGGGTGCCAGTAGATGATAGGGAGACCCTGACTCCCAAGGGTGTGACCAGAGGGGTTGTGAGCAGAATGGGCAGATCCCCAGAGAGTCACTGAGTTCCTGTATCAAGGCCACTCACCAATCCCCTTCATGGCTTTGTAGAGGGTCTCTGCATCAGGATCTGGGTTGAAGTGGGGGCTGCCCTTCACTGAGACGCCCTCTTGTTCAACCTGCAAGAGAATCCAGGCCTGCTCAGAGCAGAAGTGGGGGAAAGCAGTGCACCTTGCAGCTGCCTCAGCGGGGTGGGCACCAGCTCGGCCCCTGCCGACCAGCGGCTGAGCCTCCATCCATCCTGGTCCTGCCTGTCCTCCCGGGGTGAGTGGAGGCTGCAGCTTCTGGATATGCTAGTTTCGGGCAGATTGTGCTGAGGAAGGGGCACCTTTGTCTACTTGGCATCAAGTTGCCATACGGCCTCCTCATATCAGGGTTGCAGAGGCCTCACGTGCTTGTTAGCGCCTCGGTCAAGGGGAGGCCTGGAAGGAGGGCCTTCAGGCTAGGAGGGGCCTTCTGAGGAGGACTGGGTCAGTGCCACTCTAAGAGATGGAATCCCAGCTCTCAGCCCTAGTGCCAGGCCTGGGGAGTTGGGGCTTGTAGGCTCAGACAGTGTAGGGGAAGAGCTCACAGGTAGCTGGCACTGTGGCCACTTCCAGAGCCACCGTGCTGATTGTGGGACAGCAAGAAGAGGGTCTGGAGACTGGACTCCAGCCTTCAGCTCTCCCATGGCCAGTTGCTCCATGGGGACCATGCCTCCAACCCCTTCTACACACCCTAGTCCCACGCCATGTTTCCTCTCTAGCTCTGGGCCCTTAGATCCTCAGTTAGACATTTGTTTCCTCCTTACTTGCACTTCCTGGGTTTTTGTGATGATCAATGGACTTTAAGGAAAATAAAAATAAAAACAACAAAAAATTTGGGAGGATAGAGTTAGGGTAGGGAGCTTGCTCTGAAAAAGAATCAGCAGGGGTTTGTGGGGGGGCGGGAATGCTGAAGAGGGAGCATCCTTCAGAGTCCGGCGATGGTTTTACTGGGGTGACAGGGTACAATGATGGAATCTCATCATTGGAGAGATCTGTGAGGCCAAATGACCCAGGGATTGGTCACTCCAAGGCATTAACTGTGTAGGGAAGGGTACCCCAGAGACCGTGGCCTGACTGTGAGGGACTGCTGGTTTCCCTGGGGGCTCTGTGGGATTGCCTTGTCTCCTCTGCAGAAAGGCCTTTTGTTTTAACAGGCTGGCGCCAGCCAGAGCCACAAAACCGCTCCCATCCCTGCCCCTGTGCTGGGGCGTGGGCTCTGAATCACGTGTGTCTCCCTTAGGCAATGCCATCTGAGGCAGGCAGCAGGCTCAGCCACCCCCAGGTCCCTCTAGAGCCACTGGCAGGCAACAGGAAGGGACAACCCTGCTCAAAGCTGCAAGGACAGTGATCAAGTAAGAAAAGTCTTCATGGAGCTCAACATGCTGCCTGGAAAGTGTGCAGATGAGGCTGGGAAGCCAGGAACAGTTTGAGCTCAATCTGCCCTCTTCTAGAGAAGTGGGCGCTTATAAGATAGTAGAGGGCAAGGGTACCCAGTTGAGCATCCTGACAGCCCTGGGCCTTTCCAAGTCCTCAGGTTCTTGAGGGGCAGAGAGTTAGCTTCAGAAAAAACAGCATGATGTTCTGAAAGCTGTGAAATAAACCAGATAACCAAAGTCCCTAGGCCCTTTATTTCCAAGTCTCTAATCCAAGTCTTGCCTGAGGGCTCCTGAGACTTCTGCTCTGCAGAATTTCTCAGGTGCAAATGAATGATCCCTGTTAAGTGTGTGTTTTGGGAGATGGGCAATAAAGGAGTGGAGGGAGATTGGAGATGGGGACTGAGTTTGAAGGAGACTCAGAGACCCTTCAAATGGAAGGGAATTTAGTCCCATTGCATTTGGTCTCCCACTCGCCTGTTCAACCACTCCTCCTCTCCACCTCTCATCCACTCATCTACTCTTCCACTTATCCAGCCACCAGTCCACTCATTCATTCACTACCCAGATGTCCCACTACCACATCATTCAGCTCATCCATCCACCCATCCAGTCACCACATCCATCCATCCTTCCTTCCTTCCTTTTTCCTCCTGTTTCCCCTTCTGTTTTTCCTTCCTTCCTGGCTCTAGCTAGTCCATGAAAATGCAGAGCAGCTTCCCATCCATGGTATATCTGTAAAGATATTTCTTTTGAGCAAAAGATAAGAAGTCTTTCTATATCCTTTGCTTGAATTTCAAGTATCTAGTGACAGATTTTCCTACTTTGTTTCTTTAGCACCAAGTTCCATAGAAGAAATTATTAGAAGTAATTCTTTGTGGCAATTTGATCCCGAGAGCCTGTGTGGTCCCAGATGTTGCCCAGCTGGGTGCACACATAGATCACAACCCCTGTTTGTGGAGTCACAAGCATCTGTTACTACTGTTAAAGATTTGAGCAGGTCCTATGCACCAGGCTTTGTGTTTTAGAGGCTTTAGGTACCTTTGATGCAATGCTCTTCTTGACGTCTCTGTCAGTTGCATTAGGTAGTTATGAATGCCCCATTTGACAGACTGGGCTTGGAGAACTTGGCAAGGCTATACAGCTAGTAAATGGTGATGCTGGACTTAACCCACAGCCTGACTCAGAAGCTCAGCTGTCTGCCGCCCCCCTGCTATCAATGACTCAACCTTTTCCAGACACTGAGGTTTCCCAGAACTCTTCCATGAAGGAAACCTTGCCCACAGGAATGCAGGTTGTTTGTGAGTGTTGGGTCATCTCAGATCTCAGTGCTAAGCTCTGGGGGCCACCCAGGAGGAGCTTTCCTCCTGCCTCTTGCCCCAGGCTGGCACTCAGGGGCTGTGGAGCAGTGACACACCAGGCCACACATACTAGTCACCACAGAGTGAGTGTCGGATTCAGCAGGTCTGAGGTTGGGCTCCAGAGGCAGTGTTGTAAATAGCTTTCCGGGGCCTGTGATTTCACTGCAGTGAGAAGCCTCAGCCTCACTTCTCACACAAAGGTTTTACAGGTGAAACAGACAATTCCCTAGGAATCAGACCCTTGGTTGTGAGCATGGGGTGTTGGAGCTCCTGATAATCTATTTAAGACCACCCCACCCCCCACCATGTTGGAGGAAAGGTCTGTCTAGGTCCTTCCTGGGTCTTGTGCAGAGTGGGCCAGTCCATACAGAACATTTTCACTGAAAAGATGACTCAGTCTGGCTTGTGACTCTCCATCTGTTATGTATCTGTGAAAGTCTCAGGTGAATTGCCACACCCTTGCCTTCTCCAGTCACAAGGCGGCTGGGGAGAACTTGAGAGACGAAACATCATCTCCATAAGAGAGGCACAGTCAGGTTCCCTCGAGCTGATTTTTCACATCCCTCTGGTCCAGTCCTGGTCTCATTAGAGGCTCAGAGGTCATCTGTCCCTCACTGGAAGCTCAGCCAGTCTCACCTGGGGTCTACCTGTGATCTTGATGCCCTTGGCTTGTGGGTTGCCAAGCCCCACAGAGTTTGAGCTCTGACGTTAGACTGCTCAGAGTCTGACCCAGACTCCAGCATTTCCTAGTGTGACAACCTTGGACACCATCTTATCCTCCTTGTGCCTCCGTTTCCTTATCTGTCAACAAGGATATGGGTATTCCTATGGCAGAGATGTCTTGAGGCCCAAGTGAGAGATTGACACAAGAATGTCCAGGACACAGTACGTACTCAGGAAGTGTCATTGTCATTCTGCCAGGTTGGCCAGGTCCCTACAAGGAGGCTTTTGCCTGCCTGCCTGGGTGGGCCACAAGGATGGGCCTTTACCCTGCCCCTGATTTTGAGAGCAAGGCCTAGAATCAGGCCACCCTGGGCTTTGGAAAGTGCCCAGCACTAGGTTCTCCCTGACACATCTGCCTCCTCAAAGGCTTGTGTCCTATCAGCCAGGATGAAGCTGGAGGCCACCTTGGCCCTCGAGCTGTCCTGGCTGCCTCGCCAGGGCCAGACAGTCATTCTACCTTGCCCCTGGCCTCCTCTGTCCCTCCTGTCCCAGGCTAGCTTGTCTGAATCTGAGAGCTCTTGGGAAGTGACATTTGTGACAAAGAGATTTTCTGAATTGGGGTAAGCCCAGGTTGCCCACTGAGACTCACAGAGAGCCTGGGAGGGGGCACAGAGAAAGACCCCAGTTCACACTAGACCCCCGCCTGCTTCCTGTGGAATTGAGCAAGTCACTAGATGTTGCTGAGTGAGCCTCAGTTTCCTCCTCTGTCAAGTGGAAAGAGCAGCTTTTCTACCCCAGGGCTGCCTGGGGATGAATTGAAGGAAGGTGTACAGAGCACATCCCCCTAGCCCCTCATTGAGTGGGGGATGTCACCCGCTCCTCATCTTCCTCCCGTTTTGTGTTCTCATCTCCTTAGCGGAGACAGCCTTGGACTCAAACCCAGATGAAACACTCCTGAGAATCTGTGCATTCACCTGGACACGGGAGACTTCGGGGCAAAATGTGTCGTCCCTCCTAACTCAGCCATCTGTCACTGTAAATTTCACTCACAGATTTCAACTGTACAAAACCTCTGTGGGCCAGGCTGTCCTGCCATCCCCTGAGGGGTGGCCATTGATGAGTCCTCCAACACCAGCTTATTCACTCAGGATGCTCTGTAGCTCAAGTGCCTTCAATGGCTCCCCACTGCTCTTAAGGGAGAGCCCAAGCTCCTTTGCCTGCCAAGGGTGGCTCTGTAGGACCCAGCCCTGTCCTGCGTCTCTAGGTACATCTCCCCTGATCCACTACCCTCCCATCCAGGACCGTTCTCTTTAAAACCAAGCTTCCCACTCTTCTGAGCCTTTGTACATACTGTTCCCTCTCAAAGGCAACATTTACCTGGTTCTCTGTGAACTTGTACATACACCACACACAGACACACAGACACACAGATTACTTAACCATGATTCCCCTTCGCCTCCAGCAGCCTGACCCCTCCATCTGGGTTCTCTCAGCCCCGCAGCTTCCCCAGGTGCATTTTGAGGTTCCTTCATCTGTCTGCCTCCCCTGTTTCCATTGTTTCCAGCCGTGAGCATCCATGGGGTTGGGGCAGTATCTCCTTGTCTTCCTCCCCAGTGGGCAGCCCAGTCCAGTGCCTGGCCGGGCAGGCAGCAGATGTTGCCTGAGCTGACTTCTCTCTAGACCAACACTGTGTGGGAACCCTCCCTCTTTGCTTGCTCTGCACTTACCCAAGCTTTCCACCAGGCCATGTCGTCCACCTCGCCGGCACCTTTCCCCAGGGAGGCGAAGATACACTGGTCAGCCCTCCCTCCACTCAGAGACTCTGCACACTCACCCCACTGCACTCAGAAGAGCAGGCAGCTTGGGGTGGGGTGTGGTAGCACCAGCAGGAAGGCCCCAGGCCCCACCCAGTACCAACCCTCCTCTGACCCCACCCCCTGGGCTAGGCCAAGTCTGGGTTCCTCTTGTGGCTTTCAGGCCCCACCTAGCACCAGCCCAGACCTGCCCTTGGAAATCCATTACTTGCTGCCAAATGTTTGAGCTGTGGCTGTTACACAGACTGGAAATTCTGAGTTCCAACCTTTGAAAGCCACACTTACTAAATACAGCTGTTTATTCACTTTTTGCTAGACCTGATTTATATAAAAAAGGGGCCTATTTATTGCAAGGCATCTCCACAATAAACAATGCAATGAAGAACTCTGCAAAAGTCATAATGTAATAGCATCCTCCACATATTGGGGTGTCTCTATGCCTAGATACCTCTTTAATCACTCTGTGAACTCTGTCTCTTTTAAGCTTTGCCACAACCCTAAGAAGCAGGTAGGTGTTCCATGTAGTATAGTAAGAAATGGAAACTCCCAAGTTAAGATAATTTTTGTGAATCACACTTCTTGGGGGGAGAAGCCATAGGATCCACCAGGTCCCTTTGACTTGCTTGCTCTCTCCTTGGCCCTGGAGTATTTGGCTGCCAAGGGAGGGAGGAACCTCCCGGAAAGAGATGAATATTTTCCTTTCTGGAGTTTTCTCTCCCTTGGGCCCCTGCCTAGAATGCCTCAACTTTCCACCTCTTAACCCCTCCTTCAGGGTAAAGATGTTGCCTCAGTGACTACTCAGTAGCCCCTCCATCCTTGGGAGGTTCCCCAGGGCTTCCAGAACCCCCACTGCTCCTAGAACCCCAGAGAAAAGGAATCCCACTGTGGTGTGACTCATGTTCAGTGAAATCTTTCATAGTGTTGATAGAAAATGAATCATCTGATCTAAGAAAGAAATGGAAAATTTTACTTGAGCCAAATTTGAAGATTGTGACCAGAGAAAAGCATCTCAGAAAGTTCTGCCCATTAGAAACCAAGGCACAGTTATAAAAGTTTTTTGAGGCAGAAGGCTGTACATTAAATGACATGCTATGAACACTTTACACAATCCAGATCTAAGTGCCTTGTGACCCCTTACAAGATCAAGAAGGAATGTTATCTGTTAAAAAGTTGTCTGGCTGGTGTTAGGAGAATGTTGCATTTCATGGTTGAGCAATTGTTTCTGTGGCCCGGGAGTCTTGATCGATGCATAATGCAGACTTACTAATAACAATGCATGGTTGGAGGTGAGAGCAGACCAGAGGACAGAGAAAAATTTTATGTTTATATTTTCCTTGTAAAATATGAATTTTATTTCTTAAGGGTAACAGGTAAGAACTGACCCCTCTATTTGTTTTCCTGACCTTGGCTCCAGCGCTTGTTTCTCTATTCTTACCGAGTACCCAGCTGTTCCTTCCTGAAGTGTGGGTTGGAGTGGGTGGTGTGGGAGTTGGGTCAAGTTACAGAATATTGGGTAGACGGCTGGGCTGGAGCAAGCAGCTGTTGCCCAGGACGATGTGAGAACTGGGGGTAGGTCATCACACAGGGCTGCGAGATGCCATTGTGAGAGGAAGATTGCGGTCCACCTCAGGTCACATGGATTGAGAAAGGGCCTTCCCTGGGTCCCAAACCCTGCACCCTCCTTGGGAGCCATCAGGGCCAAAACCGTGGTGTCCTTCCTGGTGAGGCTTTCTCAGGACCTCAGCTGCTCATGGAGGCCATGCCCACATCACCTCATGAGGGTCAGGTTCTGGGGACTGGGTACCCTCCAGGGGAGTCTGGCCAAAGTCAGTTATGAGGATGACTCTAGCTAGGTCATCAGTGTGGTGACCCTGGGCCAAGCTCAGAAAGAAATGCTGGAGTCTTAGACAAAGACAGGCCACAGAACTTGGTGCAGAGAGAATGTCAGACAGGACCCTGCCCTCTGAGGGCCTGTAGTTCACAGTGATGCAGTGAGGTTGCCAAAGACCTGCTCTCCGTGACCTGTTCCCACCAACACTTGTGCCCTCTTCTCAGGCTCTGCCCCGATTCACTTCTTCAGTTAAGACCTCATCTTCTTTTTGAAGCTCTGGGCTTGGCTTCTGGGATGCTCAGCACCCCTGACCATTCTTTTTCATCTCTTTCCTGCAAGCAAACTATCCTTAGGACTCCTCCCTGGGCCTCTGTTCTTTCCCCTTTATGTCAGTTATACTGAGGCTCAGCTGCCCTTTGGGCTCACCTGGGTACGTCTCATGTCAGAGACAAGAGCCCCAAGGTCTCCACCTGATCTTTTGGGTCCCCTTGGCTCAGCATACCCATCTCAGAACCACCCACTGACATCATGTCACCATGGGCCTCTTACATCTTGTGTCTTTCTCATGTCTGTTCTGAAACTTCTCACTCATCCTCTCGAGTTCATAGCCCATGTGCCCATTTCTTCCTCCTGAATAGTCTGCTCACTCTTGGGTAGTCGTGGGCAGCTTGCTGGCCTGGGCTGTGTGCCTTTGCCTCGAGGAGTGATCCTCTTCCCCTGGATTACCTGGCTGGGGATGGCCATGTGATCTCACAGAGTCAGGCAGCAAGAGGGTGGCTGAAATTACAGGGCTCCCTGAGCCCTACTGAGTGAGCCCTGGCCTGGGTATCTGGCAGAGTTGGGTCCAGCTAGTTGCACCCTGGGGTGAGCATCCGAGCACTCAGTGTTGGGTCCTTATGGGTGAAATCTTTGTGACCTGCCCGTCCCACTGCTCAGACAGGCACTGTAAAGAACACACATGGCAGTGAAGCTGGCAGAAGGTGATATGGTGTTGGGGAGGGGCTCAGTATATAGCCAGGCCAAGCTAGAGTTCTTGTTGGATGTTAGGTTCTTTCTTCAGTTCAGTTGCTCAGTCATGTCTGACTCCTTGAGACCACGTGGACCGCAGCACGCCAGGCTTCCCTGTTCATCACGAACTCCTGGAGCTTGCTCAAACTCATGTCCATTAAGTCAGTGATGCCATCCAACCATCTCATCCTCTGTTGTCCCCTTCTCCTCCCACTTTTGATCTTTCCCAGCATCAGGGTCTTTTCCAATGAGTCAGTTCTTCGCTTCAGTTGGCCAAAGTATCGGAGTATCAGCTTTAGCATCAGTTCTTCCAATGAATACTCAGGACTGATTTCCTTTAGGATGGACTGGTTGGATCTCCTTGCAGTCCAAGGGACTCTCAAGAGTCTTCTCCAACACCACAGTTCGAAACCATCAATTCTTCAGTGCTCAACTTTCTTTATAGTCCAACTCTCACATCCATACATGACTACTGGAAAAACCATAGCTTTGACTAGGTGGTACTTTGTCAGCAAAGTGATGTCTCTGCTTTTTAATATGCTATCTAGGTTGGTCACAGCTTTTCTTTCAAGGAGCAAGCATCTTTTAATTTCAAGGCTGCGGTCACCATCCACAGTGATTTTGGAGCCCAAGAAAATAAAGTCTCTCACTGTTTCCATTGTTTCCTTATCTATTTGTCATGAAGTGATGGGACCAGATGCCGTGATCTTAGTTTTTTGAATGTTGAGTTTTAAGCAATCTTTTTCATGCTTCTCTTTCACTTTCATCAAGAGGCTCTTTAGTTCCTCTTTGCTTTTATGTAAGGGTGGTGTCATCTGCGTATCTGAGGTTATTGATATTTCTTCACGCAATCTTGATTCCAGCTTGTGCTTCATCCAGTCTGGCATTTTGCATAATGTACTCTGCATATAAATTAAATAAGCAGGGTGACAATATACAGCCTTGACGTACTCCTTTTCCTATTTGGTACCAGTCCATTGTTCCATGTCTCGTTCTAACTGTTGCTTCTTGAACCTGTATACAGATTTCTCAGGAGGTAGGTAAAGTGGTCTGGTATTCTGATCTCTCTGAGAATTTTCCACAGTTTGTTGTGATTCACACAGTCAAAGGCTTTGGCGTAGTCAATAATGGAGAAGTAAATGTTTTTCTGGAACTCTCTTGCTTTTTCTATGACCCAACAGATGTTGGCAATTTGATCTCTGGTTCCTCTGCCTTTTCTAAGTCCAGCTTAAACATATGGAAATTCTTAGTTCACATACTGTTGAAGACTCACTTGAAGAATTTTGAGCATCACTTTGCTAGCATGTGAGATGAGTGCAATTATGTGGTAGTTTGAGTATTCTTTGGCATTGCCGTTCTTTGGGATTGGAATGAAAACTGACCTTTTTCAGTCCTGTGGCCACTGCTGAGTTTTCCAAATTTGCTGGCATATTGAGTGCAGCACTTTCACAGCTTCATCTTTTAGGACTTGAAATAGCTCAGCTGGAATTCCATCACTTCCACTAGCTTTGTTCATAGTGATGCTTCCTAAGGCCCACCTGACTTCGGACTCTAGGCTGTCTGACTCTAGGCGAGTGATCACACCATTGTGATAATCAGCGTCATGAAGATATTTTTTGTATAGTTCTTCTGTGTATTCTTACTATCTCTTCTTAATATCTTCTGCTTCTGTTAGGTCCATACTCTTTCTGTCCTTTATTGTGTCATCTTTGCATGAAGTGTTCCCTTGGTATCTTTAATTTTCTTCAAGAGATCTCCAGTCTTTTCCATTCCATTGTTTTCCTCTATGTCTTTGCACTGATCACTGAGTAAGGCCTTCTTATCTCTCCTTGCTATTTGGATCTATGCATTCAGATGGGTATATCTTTCCTTTCTCCTTTGCCTTTTGCTTCTCTTCTTTTTTCAGCTATTTGCAAGGCTTCCTGAGACAACCATTTTGCATTTTTGCATTCCTTTTTTTGGGGGTGGTCTTGATCACTGCCTGTTGTACAATGGCATGAAACTCTGTCCGTAGTTCTTCAGGCACTCTATCGGATCTAATCCTTTGAATCTATTTCTCACTTCCACTGTATAAACGTAAATTATTTGATTTAGG